TGGAAGGCTGTGTCAGAGAACAGGCTTCAGCAGCTGGCCAGCTGCTGCCGCCCAAACCTAGGAATCACCTTTCATTTCTTTCTGCTCCTCGATGTCCCATCCATGGCACCTCCTGGGGGTCCCAGCAGCTCTTCTCACGACACACCCCACATCAGCCTACTTCTGTCTGCGCCCACTTCCACCCTCATCCTAGCCAAGGTCACCTCACTCCTGGATTCTGTCCTGCCCCCCTAACTACTCTTGGTTTTCACTCTTGGTCCCTCCCCCTCCCCCATTTGTTACTCACAAAAGAGCCGCAGTGTTGAAAGCACAGAAACCAGCAAGGAACTGTGAATGAGCTCATGTCCGTCTTCTGTTTGACCCTGCACGTAGGGTAGCATATGACTTCTCCAGGCCACCAGCCCTACACACGCGTCTCCTGGCCCACTGAGGCCCGGCTACGCTGACCTGCAGGTGCCTTGCCTACAGCAAGCGCGTTCCCGCTGAGGGCCCTTGCGTGGCTGGCCTCTTTGCCTGGACTGCTCATCCCCTTGTCTTAGCACGCTGCTTCTCTTTGCCATTCAAGCCTTGACGTAAAGGGCCTCATCTTAGAGGCCTCCTCTAAGCATCCTTACCAAAGCTAACACCCAGGCTTCCTCCATCACACTCTCCTGTTGGAGTCTGTGCTGCTTTACTCCTGTCTCCCTGGTGCTGGTTCACTGTGTCACCATTCTCCCACCATCTATGGATCGCGTCCTGCGCCGACCCGATGAGGCATGTGTCGTTCTCCCTGAACAGTGCCTACGTCCCCTGAAAACATGGAAGCCCACGAGCATGCGCCTCAGCGGCAGCCTCCAGGCCTGGCATGGAAGAGCCGACTAATAACACACATCATCTGCACAGTGAATAAAGCCCCACAAGGTGATGTGTACTAGGAAATTAGAATTGGCCAATACAACCTCTTGCTATGCTTTCATGGCTTTAAGGCAGCCAGTATTCCAAAGTGGCCCTAGTACTGGGATAAATCATTCCCTGGCTGCGTTTTTCTGGGCCAGCCATGATTCCCTTTCTGTTTGCGTGTCCAGCTAGGATTTATTTAGGTCCTACTATTTACAGGCTCATGCTCAGTGTCCATCTCTGTCCTGTCCAGCCAACCCAGCGGCTGGCACTCCAGAGCCAGCCATGAATAGGCCAACTGTCTGCCCTGCTCCTAGCCAATGACCAACTGATCCTCACTACAGCTCATACACAGTGCAGCTAAGTGGCCGGTACCCTTCCACACTTGTAGCCCTCTTCCTTCCAGGTTTCCCAAATATCCAGGGGTTCAGTGTAGTTCCTGTGGGTAGCACCTAGGCAGGCTGCCAGGCTCTGTGCCGGCTTTAGCGGGTCTGCCTCAGCTTCTAGCCCCAGCTCCCCAGCCCTGCTTCCCAAACAGGCACGTGCCTGCTTGTCCCCACTTATGCCCAGCCTGTTCTGTCACAGGTGGCTTCCACTACAAGCCACTCACACAATGGCCCAGCAGGCTGTGGAGTCGTTGCGCTGGCAGGTACCAGCTCTGGAATCTTGAACCAAGAGGTCACTCTACCTCCTGGAACTTCAGGTTCCTCCTCTGCAAACAAGAGCCATAAAAGTCCCGGTCTTTTGGGTTGTTGTGATTGGTCTCCTGAAGGCCTCTTGCCCCTTCCTCCCTATTCTGTAAGCCCATTAATTCTCATCAGTCTTGGCTCAGGGGACAAGGCAGGGGAGAGAGAACAACTCTTTGGTGGCAATGATTCTATGGCTAACCACATGACTAGAAATTAAAAGGCTGCAATTAAAACGAAAATGTACAGTTCAGGCAATATATCTCTGCTGGGTGGGGATAAAGGATACAAAGAAAAATTGGACACTGTGAAGGAACCCAGTCTAAAGGGGAGGCAGGCTGCGGAAGCCCACGAAGAGATGTGTCTCCACCGCCCATGCACCCAAGCACAGACAGCCCCTTCCTCTGGGGCCAGGAGTCTAAATGTGGGGAAAGATGAATGCGATCCCCTCACTTCCCAAACGCTTGGTGTGAGGTGCTGTCCTTGGACTAACAAGACAGTGGATGACGGGGCATGAGAACTACAACAGGACTGAGTGGGGATTCACTCGGGGCCGGCTCCTCACACACAAGTGACCCGGCACTGTCCTTCCTCCCTGACACAGGCCAGGCACTTGCCATTCTTGTTTCCTAGAATGCTGCCTCTTCTCATTTTCTGCCCTAGTGAGCGGCCCTTGTAACCAAGGCAGCAGCCCAGCTCTCATCCCTTCTGAGACAATACAGAGATTTCTCAGAAAAATGACTTCGGCCAGGTGTAGTGGCACGTGTCTGCAGTCCCAGTCCTGGGGAGGCTGAGGCAGGAGGATCACCATGAGTTCCAGGCCCGCCTGGGGCTACACAGTGAGTTTGAGGCCAGCCTGAACTACACAGTGAGATCCTGTTGAAAAACAAAGCAAAAAACTAGGACGTGTTGGTGCCCTGAGTCCCCTGATCCTTGGTGACATGTAACCTCAGCTCCATGGCATCTTCCTAGTTCCCCCCAACTAAATGCGCCCGAGGTGGCAGAGAGGGCAGAGAATGGGCAGCAACGGAAGCCATGGTTGGACTAAGAAACAAAGGACAAATGCACCCTTCGAGGTCTGGCTGCAGTGCTCTGGCTCACTGGCCACCTGTCCCCTCCCTGAGGTCCTCCTCTAACTTCACCCTCCGCCGCACCGTAGGAGCCAGGTGTCAGCCAGCAGTGGCTGCGGCTAAGATGGGCCTGAAAGCCTAGAAGGCACCCAGAGTCCCCTGTCAGCATCTTCAAAGCTCCTAATATGATATTTTTGATACAGGAGAGAAAATTTTTTATTAAAAATAAAAAGTCCCACTTTTGTTTTGAGTGACAGGGGGTAGGCTAGAATTGTCCTTGTTCAGGTCAGTATGGTCTGGGGGTTAAGTAAGGGCAGGGACTCCGCAGCCAGGCTGCTTGGGTAGATCCCAGCTCTGCCCCTTAGCTGTGGGGTCCTGCAGAAATCACTCGACCTCCCTGTGCCTGTTTCCTCCTGTGTGAATGAGAATAACAAGAGGATCTGCCTCTGTGGGGAGCTGTGTGGGGGCTGAATGAGCTAAGACACATGAAGTATTTAGGGCACAATGCCACGTGTTTTTATCCTGGCAAATCCAACAGGGAGAATGACTGGCCCACATGGCCAGGAGGGATCTGGAGAAGGGCCTATGCCTTCCAATAGGTCCTGGGTGGCAGATGTCCCGGGCCAGCTCCCTGAAGCGCTTATGGGAGGTTTATTTTCATTGCAGTCAAGCTCCACCAACAGCAGTGAAGACTCAGCCAGTCCGAGCAGTGCTTGTCAAGCCAGAGCTGTGCTAGTATTGCTGTGGCCTGCTGCTGTCCCACAGCCCCAGCAATAGACAGTAGCCTTTGGAAAACACTATCCACAGCCTCACCCATGGGCCCCGCCTGCCCCTGGGCCGCTCCTCTCTCTCTGCGCAGGGCCTTGAGACAGCCCTAGCCGTTTGTGCTGATTCGCTCATTTCACTCCCCCCATGCACTATGCAGCTTCTAGGGTTCCCTGGAGTTACAGTACGGATGACAGTAAGGCCTGTGCACGTGAGAAGATTCAACACTTAGTCCTCCGGCTCATCACACAGCTCCCAGCAGTCCAAGAAACAACAGCAGCAACTAAATGATGGAAAATTCATTTGCAAAAGAATCTCTAAGCAACTTTTGAAAAAAAAAGCCTCGCTGCTCAGATGAACTTGGAATCACAGGGCTGGCAGCAACTGAGAGACCAGAGGCTTCCAAACTTGCTTTCAAACTCCAAAGCCACTGTTCAGTTGCAATTTGCCCGAACCCAATACACAAGGTGGACACAGACAGGGTTCCTCTGGGGAAAGCAGCTCCTTGGCGGCCTACATGGCATCCTTCCTCCTTTCCCTCAGCCCCTGGTGGCGGCTTGGGCTCCACAAAGCACTGACAAAGAACTACGAATCTAAGACAGCCTCCCCACTTAGAAGCCCCATTCTGAATGGCACCTGCACCCAAACCTAATTTTAGGAATTCAAGCTAATGCTTCTTGTTCCGCTTTGCTAGGGCCAGATCTACGGAAAGTTGCAATGGGAAGAAACAAGGCTCACTTCTGACCACCTACAACATAATCCTTGAGTATTTTAAAGGACCCTAAACCAGCCAAGCAGGAAACAGCCCAGCTCCAAAGACCAGCAGAGAGGAGGTCGGAAATGAGTCGTAGAGGCGCATCTGATAATTCCATATGATTTCCCTCAGTTCTCCGGGACACAGACAGGTCTTCAAAGGCCTGGGCTGTGCAGCTGTGAGGGACCTGGAGCAGGCGGGCCAGGAGGTGAATGCTAATGAGCTATGGAAATAGCAATTACTTCCCCCATGTCAGGCACCGTGCCAAGCGAAGGGGAATAAAGAGGTCTGAGATATTTTTAAAGTACTTTTATGGCAGAAAAACTTTCCTTCAGACTCAATTATATAACTATCAGACTCCACCTCTGAGCTGAAATTATCCGTGGCTTCAGGAAAAAAATAAAGACAAAGAAATCATTTTTTCCTACATGAGTGTCACAGGTTTCTCCAGAGAAACTCAGAGGAGCTATATGGCCAGTGACCCAGGGCAGCTGCAAGCCATCAGCCCAGAGATCTTCCCAAAGGCAGTCTGCAAGCTGCCAAAGACCAATACTGGCTCAGCAGAGGGCAGAAGTCATGCGCTGACCCGGCCACCACAGATGACGTTTTAGGGTTCGGGAAGATCCCTTTGAGGGGCTTCTAGCCCCAGCCACTTGGGCGCCCTCCCTGCTCCCTTGAAGTGAAGTGGGGCTCGAGTCACTAAAGCCACGAGGATGCCCAGGGAACATTTCATTAACTAGGTGACACCATCTTTAACAGAGTGCAGGCAGTCAGAGAAAGCCTAGGGCTTCAGCAATGCAGATCTTCAGCAGTGACATCAAAGGGATAGACTTCGGGAGGTTAACTTACAGCCCAGGTCTTTGTCAGCCTGAAGATGGGAGCACTTTGCAATGCTGACACCACAGACATGAGAGAATGAAGGTTGTTGAGTTCTAGAAGTTTCTGGGGGGAAAAAAAAAGATATGGAATACATTATTTTGCTGCTATAAACAACAGAACAAAAACATGCTCAAGTGTTACCAAATGTTGTCATATTTATAAAATTCAATTACACTTAAAAATATTTCACGTAGAAAATATAGTTCTAGGCAGTTCGTAGGAACCATATGCTCTTTTTCTCTCAAACTGTCAAAAGGTGAATGTACATCTAAAATTTCATAAACTGACTCATCTGGTTGCTGGATGACAGAGATGTGGCTGGGGATAAGATTTGATAATCCCTTTATGTTCTTTTCAAAGATGAATCTGAACCTCGTCTCTAAGACCCTGGCTGTGCCAACAGCATCAGGATGCTCTACTGTGACTACCCTAACACCCCAACGAGAAGGAGGCAGGGAAGATGTTATCAATCCGTGTAATCCCTCTCGGCTGGCAAGGCAAAGCGCCAGTTTCCCGTCCGACCACACTCCTTTGAACCAGACCCCAAATTAGGGGGAACATTTGGAGTCAGTTCAGCCTCAGACAAGCTCCTTACCAGGGACTGCAACCAAATGAGTCACAGAGGAGAGTAAAGGCAGAAGAATGTGACTGCTCTGCTCTTGGTTTGCTGCGGAGGGGAACTTGCTACCAGGACTGGGTCCCCTCTCTCCTTCTTGGGAGGCAGTGAAGCCTGGGTTAGCGAGCAGGGGCTATGGAAGCCAAAGGCCCGGTCCAATCTCAGCGCTCGTTACTAATGTTTCCTGAGGCAAGTTGCCTGGTCCTTTTGAGCCTTGGCGTCCTCACAGTTACGACAAGGAAGGTAACCACTGTCACCGGTGCTTCATGAGACCAGCACCTCAGCCAGGGTGAGTGCTCACTGGGAGATGGGACTCAGTCTACTCTGGCTGGAAAATGGGTCTTCCGCCTCCCCATCCCTTGCCTCGGGCACATCCAGGCTTAGACACCACTCCCTCTGATATGTTTTTCCTGACAATGTTCTAAATCCACAGAGGCTGGGAACTCACTTCTGTGTTCCCACAGTCTGCGTGCCCTTTGCACTTGGGATTGTACTAGTTTATTACTTGCCTCTTTCTCACCCTGGAACTCATGTCCCCTGAGAGCAGGGATGGAGTTTTATCTACCACCATGTTCCCAGTACCTAGTACAGCCTCCAGTACACAATGGTTAAAATGAGTAAACAAGTGAAAAGCCAGTAACGCTGGGCCCCTGTAGCTCTGTTCCTGCTTAGAAACTTCACCCTGACCACACAAGTTAATGCTTCATTTCATACATCTTGTAACAATCTCTAATTGTTTCCTGTGTGTAAGAATAGACTCTCTGAGTGAACTGAGTTTCACTCTAGTATCTGAGTTACAGTGCTTGTCACAGAATTTCTTTTTAGGGCAGAAAGGCCCCAGGGAGGTTATCTAACCCACAGCTTCCATTTATGTATGTAGGTATGTATATGCTAAGGATTGAACCCAGGGCCTTTGCACTGAGCTACATCCCCACCCCTTTTGATTTCTAGTTTAGACAAGATCTCACTAAGTTTCCCAGGCTGGGCTTGAATTCACAAGCCCCCTGCCTCAGTCTCCAAGTATGCTAGCATTGTGGGTGTAACCCTATAATCCTATAGAGGATAAAACCCTACAAAATCTTCAATTTTATAGATAGGAAAACCAAGGCCAGAGAATGGAAGGGGTTCTAAGGTATACCCAGAGTACAGGGCCAGCATGACATTTTGCAGTAGGCAAAGGGTAGGCATGAAGAAGGGATCGTTTGGACTCCTTGAGTGGGGGCCATAAACTCACTGCCAAACTGCAAGCCCCAGGGGCACCAGAACCACATCCCACCTTCTCTCCTGGCTCAGCACAGAACTGACCAACAGCAGCAACAAGTGTCATTAAACCCAGCACCAGTTCCAAGTACATCCTGAAAATATGAGGGACACCATCATAACCATTGCCCCTACTGTGTTTACAAACGGATGCAATTAACGTTCTGGGAGGGCGGCAGAGACGGGGCTTTAATTCCTACACTCTCCTGGTAGCTGTGGGCCTGAGCACTCAGCTTCTCTCTAGGCCTCCCTTTGCCTTCTACCCCAGGGACAAAACTGTGGCACCAAACGCAGTCACGTCAGTAAAGCGGCTGTTCCACTGCCAGGCTTTGAAGGGCCTCAGCCCAGGGCTGCTCTCCGAGGCTCTGGGTGGGAAAACATGTGCACACACGAAGTGAGCAGGGAACCAGGCTGGGTAACGCTGCTGCGGAGTCCGGCAAGCCCAGGTGCTCGGAGCAGGATACTGGGAGGAGCTGCGTGGCATGAGTGATCCAGGAAGCCATGGATGGGCACAGCATGAGCTGGCAGAGGTGAGGGCAGAGGAGGAAAAAGGTGGTCCCAACAAGCAGCAAGGGGTCAGGGCCAGGGGTCAGGAGGAAGGAGGAAAGTCACACGGCCTTAGCTCAGGATGGGGTGGGGTCCACTCTGCTGACTGAGGGCACAAATATGTGGACTGTGATGAGATCACAAGCACTGGTGCTGAAATGGCTACTGAAACTGTGGGTTGGAGGGGCTGCATTAATGCACACACAAGGCACAGGCCTTGGGCAGCCAGTGGTCAGGCCAGTACCCGCTACACCCCAATTTGAATCCCGAACAGCAGACCCAGACCAAAGCACCTCCCAAAGTACTAAAAAAGCACATTTTTGAGACAGAGAATAAAGGGAGGGAGGAAAGGAAGGAAAAAAATAAATAAATAAAACGGCTTACCTTAGCTATTTTCACAAAATGGCTCAGGATTTCTGCCCTTATTTTTAAAGTCTGTGCTGTTAGAATTTCTCGTACAACCCAAAAACTGACCTGTAGAGTCAAACACACACATGTCCACATACACGCACACACCAGAAACGCTGTTCAATGCTGGGCCACCCACCCCACCCACCACTGCTGGGGGGTTCCCAAGGGTCTGGTACGGCAGGCGGTCAAGAGGTCGAGGGTTCCCTGTGGCTCCCAACCTGGATGGGTCCCCTGTTCCTAGCACCCCCTTCAGAGTATACGGTGGTGCTAGGCGGTAGCATCTGCATGGTCGCGTAGGGAGCCCTGGGCTTCTGAGACACCCAGACCCTGCGACTGCTGCGGGACATCATGGGATGAATCAGCCCGGACTCCTGTGCAGAAGGACCAAGAGGGGAGACAGCAGGGACGATGGGAGGCCGACGGATGAGGGGTCGAAGAAGCAGCGCCCGTGAGGTCCAGATCCCCCGCCAGGCCCCGGACAAGGAGGAATCACCGCCATGTGCACAACTGCAGTTTTCTAAGAGAGGTCTGTCTTTGGCCAATAATAAATGATACAAAAAGTGTCTTTCAGAGTTCCATACAGCAATGCAGATTTGGGATATGTTTTTCTGGAAACAGCATGAACCAAAAGGGAATGTCGGTAGCTCCGGCTCAGAAGCTCATTCGTGCTTGACCTCTCACACACACCCACAGCCCGAGCCCCTGGGTCTGTCCACGGAAACAAGAAAGTCATCTGTCAGTGCAGGGCTGACTCGCGGTACCTCAAGGAAGCCCAGAAACGCTGGGAAATAGCTTTCCATGCTTATCACGGCTCACTGATCACAGCAGTTCTGTGTCAAAGATGAGTGCCCAGGAGTGTTGTGACAGCGCCGCAGCAAAGAAGGCAGGGGGCTGGCCCAGGTAGGAGGGTGCGAGGGGTGAAAAGGGAAGACGTTACAAGGGGAACAATAAGCAAACCCAGTGAAGGACAGCCCAGAGCTAACACAGCAAGCTTATGCTAATAATAGACTCTTGTATATTCTTGTAACTGAAATACTGTCACTTTTCAAAGAGAAAACAAGGGAAGAGAAACCAATCTGCCTTTAGTACTGAGCAAGTATTACAGAAATGTTTTCTCAGTGTCATTATCTGTGGTTGCTTCCAGGACATGCCTGGGTTTCCATAGAATCATTTTTTCCAAGAAATTGTCAAAATTAAGTTCAGGCTCAAACGTTTACTAACCAGTTATGGAAGAAAATTTTTCTGGATACCAAACAGTAAACCCCATAAACTTTATATCCTAGTATGTGCACTTCTTATGCTATATAATCTTAAGTGTGACACTTTTTATATGTCATTTAATACATTCTTATGTGCCAAGGCCTCGCACATTTTTCTGGCATAATTATGGAAGAGGGCAGAGCCGACTTTGGATCTGCAGCCCACAGCATGCAAAGGCAGCTTGGAGTTCACAGTTCAACAGAGTTGCACAAGGCCCAAATGGGTGCCGGCTCCAGACCTTGCCCGAGACAGAAGTGACCGACAGAGGCAGAGCCCTCCAGAAATCTCTGTTGGAAGGCAGCTGTGATCAGGGCCATAAGAAGTTCACAGCAGATGAACTGGAGGCTGGAGGGTAGCGACAGAAGAGGGCAGGCCTGAAAAGACGGGAAGACGTAACACAGGAAGGCAGGACTGTGCTATGACTGTCTATACCAGACCCAGGACGGCTGGGCAGCTGCCAGGGATGCAGGAGCACCACGGAGTTGGTGCTGAGGGTAGACGAAAGTAAAGGACAGAATGACCAGACTGAGGGACACAGGGCAAGGTGAGAAGAAGGAGCTAAGAGGCCACTCTAGGAGGAGAGTTCTGGGGCTTCCATGTGGACAGAACAAAGGCAGAAGCAGTGGTTTTTCATATTTTTATTCTCTTTCCTGACCACAAAACAACATGGAAATCAAGAGAAACAGAAATGAGAACAAAACACAAAAATCATTTGCAATCTTGGTCTCATGTACAGATCACTGTGGTAAACAGTGTGGTGTGCGATCTTCTAGGCTTTCCCCCCATGCACAGAACGTATGGTTGTCTTCAAAGTTAAACCGGTATGTAGTAATCATATATCTCCAACATCTTTTTTCTTTCGGGACCAGGGATCAAACTCAGGACCTTGCACTTGCAAGGCAGGCACGGCACCACTGAGCTACATCCCCGCCCTGCTCAAATGCTTTTGTAAGCAGATACTCTTTTATAATTTTTGCAGCTACCAGGGATTTCATCACAGAAGTGTATCGTGATTGGCGGAAGCCGCTTGTCGTTGCACAGGTCATTTCTGTTTGTTCTGTTGTAATTAACAATCCTGTGGTGAACATCTTCACATGTATACCTCTGTACACTTTTTATTAAGGATTGGGATAAATTCCAGCAGATGGAGTGAACAAAAGTGTATGTAGCTTTTTTTCAAAGGTAGAGATGAAGAAGAACTTGGCCTCCAGAAGATCTATTTATTCATTCATCTACAAGTTTAAGCAGATCTATGTTTTTTTGACATAGGCCAGCACCAGTTATTAAAATTCTTTTCTTCTTTATCAGTGGGTAGAATGGTATCTCACTGCTTTGAGTTTGCATTTCTTTCATGACCATCCAGTTAATTTTTTTATCTCGCTCTATTTTTCTCAGTTAACATTACCTCTTCCACATATTTATAGGCTACTTATCACTTGTACTGTTTGCCTTGCAATTGGCTGCTCAGGTCCTCACCCAACTTTCTACTGGGACATCTATCTTCTTCATATTGTTTGATAAAAGCTCACTGCATATTAAAGGATATAGACTTTGTGAGTCGTAAATTGTATTAAGAGTGTAGAGGAATTAGTCTCTTGGATACTGCTTGGAGAAGCAGAAATTTATTCAAACATCCTGAAGAACGACTTGAATATGTTTCCAGCTACTTAAGGTATATTCTCCATAAAATATTTACCTTATAAAAGTTCAGAATTGCGGAAACACATAAGAATTAAGGCTTCTCAGAAACACTGCTTATAAGGCTGAAAAATAGAAAAACATGCCCATGCATAGGAGATGGATTACATATGATACTCCTTCATACTGTAGAAGGAAGTCAGCTTGCTCAGCCCACTCTTAACGGTTACAGTGTTCTGCTCCACCTTCTTAAGGGCAAAGAATCTACTTAAGTTATTTGAAAGTCTTCTGCCTGGGGCATCGGTCTATTCTCCTCTGCTTATTTGGAGTAATTTTATTTGCCAGTCACTTATATCATAGGAGCTCATGGATATTTATATTGTATTTTAGATTATAATCCCGCTATGTTGTTTTGTTGCTCAAGTCGTTCCTGCTTTGGCTCATCACCGAAAGCTTTTTCAGCTGGCCCTGCACCCTTCTGACACCCCAGTATTGTTCTGGTCCGGCAGTGTGAGCACGTCCTGTCCTGTACTGCAATATGCCACAGCCCACCTTGTACAGTCACTGCCCCAGTCCTAAAATCAGCCGCTTTTCTAAGGAACTTTGGTTCCATTTATTAGGTAAGGTATCAGAGCCCAAGATGTGTACCCAATAGGTGCTACGCTGGAGTACCATTGTTTCTCAGCCAGCAGAATAATGACAGGAAGAGGGAGAGAGATGGAAGGAACTAATCTGTGTATCTATAAATATTTTTATCTGTGCCCATTAAACTCATACTGATGTCTCCAACTGTACTCTGTCATCACACGGATCGTTCTGACCTCCGTGTCTTTAATTGCCCTTTTCACCAGTGACAAACTAGCTCTCGCCGTCTGCCATCCCTAGCCTCAACTGTTCGGCTCCATTATAAATATGTCGGAGTTGTTACTCATCCCTCCTGGGAAACAGCTCTGTCAGGAGAACGCAGTGCGTAGCCCTTTCTATCTTCCGTCTTACAGGTTCTCCTTTTTTCCAAAATTACTTAGGTCAGCAAGGTTTCCCCTCCTCGTCCTCAGGGCAGTCGATTTACACACTTACCACGGTACAACTGTGTGTACAGTGTATTGGGCTTTCTTCTGAGAGGGCCCCTCAGTCTCTAAGATGAATGTTTCTTAGTTTGCATATACTAAGGCTTCTTCTTGGTGCTGTAAAGTTCTGTGGATGTATACAAACACACTGTGTCTCTATCCATCATTACATTATTTTTTCAGAATACTTTCACTGCCTTAAAAAAAAATCTCCAAAACATCACCTATTCAACCTTTTCCCCTCCCAGAACCCCTGACAACCACTTACCTATTATCCCAATAGTTTAACCTTTTCCAGAATGTCAGAGGGACAGAAAAAGTATCTTCCATAGGCAGACATTCATGCCAGCTTTTTTCACTTACTGTATGCATTTAAAGATTCATCTGCATAATTTGTTAACTCATTCTGCTTTTAGATGAATACTACTACACTGCATGAACTTACCATAATTGGCTTATCCATTAACCTAGCGAAAGACATCTCAGTCCCTTCTATTTTTGATAACCATGAATAAAACTGCCACAAACATTTTTGTGTTAGCATGTGTGTAAAAGTGTTCAAATCCACTGGGTAAATACTGGGTGATGTCTGTTCCGTTCTGCACTCCCACCAACAATCAAAGAATGAGAGTTTGTGTTGCTCTAGATCATTGTCAGCAATCAGTATTTTCAGCTTTTCTGTTTTAGACTTTCTAATAGGTGTGTAGTGTTTTTACATTTTCCTGGTGCTAAAGGAGCATCTTTCACACACTTATTTCCCATCAGTCTATCTTCTCTGATGAGGTATATGTTGAGATCGTTTGACCACTTTTTTCTCAGTGAATTTTACTAATATATTTAAAACATAAGTCCTTCATCTGATACGTGTTTTGCAAATATTTTCTCCCGGTCTGTGGTTTGACTTTTAATTCTCTTAACTATATCTTTTAAAGAATGGAACAAAATCTTAATTTTAATAAAGTCGTAATATCAGTTTTCTTTCATGGATTGTGCTTTGGGTATGATATCCAACAACTGGTCATCAGACTCAAGGTCATATTTTTTTCTAAAAGTTTTGCAGTTTTGTCTTTCACAGTTAGGCCTATTATCCACTTTGAG